TCGAACAACACACACCGGCACACCACCGAAGCACACCACTGAGCACACGCACCACCGAACCAAACGGAGCCACCTTTGCTTTTGGCGGCGTCGCTTCGCTGCTGCTGCTGTTGCTGCTGCTGCTGTTGCTGCTGCTGCTGCTGCTGCTGTTGCTGCTGCCGCCGGCGTATAAAATTGGCTGTGACCCGATTTTATTCTATTCTACTTGCTCTGGCCATTGTTCTGGGTGGGATTCGGACTGGGACTGGGACTGGGATTGAGATTGGGCTCAGTTCGGCTTGAAGCGCCGTGGCAGCTGGGTGGCTGGACTGCCAAGGAAAAATCGATCGCTAAAGGGATGGAATTGTAGGCAAAACAGGATATAATCGTGCGTCTAATGTAGGTCTACTTTCGGGGCAGTGTTAGACTACACAGAACAAAATACTGCGTTCTTTTCTCAAAATCAATCATATTAATTTAATTTGATTTTAAATGTATCAATATTAGATGAGTATTTTATATCAAATGCAAGGATAAGAAAATCTTTTGTTTTTTACAAGTTTTATGTCAAAGTGAAAACTGTTATTTACATTACTAAATTTGCAACGTTAGATTAAAAAATATAAATACAAATTATGTAGCACTCAAATTTAAAATATTGATGTTTACTAAGAAGTTCAATATTAAATACTCAAATGTAAAAAGAGAGTAATAACTGTCTTAAAGAAGTGCATAATCAATAAATAAAAATAATTCAATATATTAAAAAAAAAACTATTATTTAAATGCATATATTATTAGTATCCAAAATCTTCTCATTTTTTTATACTAAAAGTTAATGTCCATGTACAAAACTAAATTCGTTAAAAGTGATTCTTGACCTTCATCCAAATAAACTTCATAAGAACTAGTTTTCCCTATTGAAATTGTATTGGAATTGTATTGTAATTGAATTTGTAATATCTATTTCAATGGTCTTGTGTGCCTGGAAGGGCTGGCAGCCAACAGTGCCCCAAATAATTTGTTTTTAGTTCAACTTTTTCGGTACCACACCTCGCAATAACAAATAAAACTATCGTGAATTGAGTTTTATCACTCTATTTTTTCGATTTTTTAATGCTTGCTTTTCACACATAGAGTAAACATTGGAGTAAGTATGTATATTGAACATTTTAACTGTGTTTAATTTGTGGTTAATTGGTTAAATATTAAACTGTAAGTAACTGGTGGTTATATTATTTATTGAATATTTAAGTTGGCTTAGAAGCCAAGCCCCCTTGGAGGGAGCGAAACAAAGTGTTCGAGTGCGTGTCCTCTCGATTGTGAGTGACAAATCGTAGTTAATGTTGTTCATTATGAGTTTCATTATCCTTTGTCTTTGGGTCGACCAAATGCCAAATTGTTTTCTAGCACAAGCGCTGTAAGCAACCGATTGTGTGACATTTTATGTGTTTATGTTAATCGTGATCATCTCGTGTAGTGTTGTGGAGAGCCCAAGGCGGAACGCTATAAAATGTTTCTTGCAGTGCATAGATTTGTTTAAATGCTATTAAACATGTTGCCTGAAAAGACCTCATGCACTTTAATCTATTAAATTGTTAATTAGCAGATTAAGTATATGTGTTAGCTCTAAGAAGAGGTGTTTTGAACATTTTGTGTGTAAAATATAATATTTCATTATTATTTCCATAGACACTGAAGCTCCTTTTTGCAGTGACGAAAAGTGTTTCTCCCAGTGCATATCTGCTGTGCACTTGCATTTATTTTATTTATTTACCTTTGTCCCAGGTTAAACCGAAAAACTTCTATTCATTGGATAATTGCTGTTGTGTTGGGTTAAATTACCTAAGACATGAACTAACCTTTCTCCCAGTGTAAAACCCGCCTGTACTGGCTCTAACTTGTTGTGTGCATATTCTAATGTATCTCTCTATCTGCTTATCCTGTCATTGAGCAATACTTGATTATGATTATTTAACAGCAAACGAAATCATCATCATTTACATCCCATTGCAGCGTACCCATAATTCTGACCAAAAAGTATTCTTTTTGTACCATTTAATATTGAGTTTTTATGTGGTAATTACATAGTGGCAAGGAATTAAAGGCAGGCATAACTCGAAGTTCTGAAATAATCATAATCAAAAGGGAGATCAGGATTCAGGATCTCAGTTATCATGTGTTCAAGAAAGCAGATAGATTGTGTCATAGGAGGGGGTCATGCAACTATTTCAAGAGTCTAGAATTAAACAAAATAAGTTAGTAAGAGGGAGGAGTGTTTTGAAATCGAAATCATGCGTGTTTTTAAATGGGGCGTTAACCGAGTGGGAAAGCGTGCCAGTGTGCAAAATAGGTAAGCTAGCTATGGTTAGTTAGATTACATTCTAAGTAGTAGCAGTTCATGTATAAGCAACTCTACAGGCTATTTAATAGTACAGTACCTGTTCGGATTGATAGGATTTGCTTTTGGTGTTTGCTTTCTCAGTGAGTCTCGGAGGCGACATCCTGTGCCGCCCCCACCAGAGACAGATAATCTATGATCTGGGCGCCGAAGCTTTTCGGTAACTCTTACTTTAGACACAGACAGTGTGGACACTGGGCAAAGGGCAAGGGACAAAGGACAAGGGACAAAGGGGGAACCAAGGGTTGTGTGTAGCTTCAGGATCAGTTTCTTTAAGGGTCTCTTTATTATTTTTAGCTTGTATTATAATAGTAATCGTAATTATTACCGGATCAACAACGACATGTCCTTGTTCGTCTCTTCTGCTTGCTGTTTATCATCGAAAATTGTTCGCATTTTGTTCTGTTTCGTTTTTCTTCTTCTTCACTTTAGTTCGGTGTTGTTTAATTTACATTTATATAATTTACACATGCAGCAGTATAATATATATGTTTTTTATGTGGTTTCAATTTGTTTTTGTTTGTTTGTAGCGCATATTACACAATGGCGCGATACATTCAGATATAGGTATGCATATCTTCGGTCTGCGACTCTGATAAATTCAAAGTGGTTAATAACATCTATATATTTATGTATATATATTTGTATGTAGGTATACATGTTTGCTATATAATTCTCATAAATAATTGTAGCTCGTTAATGTAATATGTATGTTTAAAACACTTAAATTGCATAGGTTAATTAAGTTTTGCACAAAAACCTTTAATAGGTATGCTCCATGTTCTCATCGTCCTGTGTCGGTGTGTTTGTTTTGTTTTATTTTGTTTGCTTTTGTTGTTTTCGCTCTCGATTGATTCATATATGTATGTTCAATAATCATTTAACGCTTTCACTTTTTAATACATTTAGATATTAGTGGCCTCAGCCAGCATAATTTTTTGCTGGATTTTACCTTTTTTTTGGTTGGTTTTTCTCAATGTATTTTTCGTATCTTGTTTTCTTTTTTGCTTAATAACACAAATTTTTGCCAAGTGGCTAAATAGAGATATATGTATATATTTCTGTACGTAGCATATATATTCTGTATACACATCGATATTGTTAAATGTTTCGCTTATCCGCTAAATGCCTCACTTAGTCAGATAATTATTTCTTTTGGGTTTCCATTTCCCAAAAATGTATGAAAGCCTGCTCTTGTTTTTATTTGATTCGCTTACTCGATAGTTAATTGAATTGGACAGCTATCCGTTTGTGGCTGTCGATCTCAATGTGTATTTGATTTCGTATTTATTTGTATTTGTATATTATCCTCCGCGGACACCAAACTCAATCTCTTTATCGAACCGAAACCTCAAAAACACAGAGTTCTCAAGTTCCAGGTTGCCTGATTGATAAGTTGTTCGCGTATCTCCTGTTCGTCCTGTCCAGTCAAAGGTCGCTCCTGGCTCGATCCCCTATCCCGATGGTTGCCTCTGGGGGGAGGGACAGGTCGGTCAGTGTGTGGTCCTCGCACTCCGATGTTATTTTAGAATCTCATTACGTAGGCCTATGACTAAGTTCCGTCCGATCGGTCAGTTGCAGTTGGTGCTGAGTGTGGAGTCGTCGGAATCGGGTCAGGTTCATCATCTGCTCGTCCAGATAGAGATGTGCGTATATACAGCGTTGTCTGGGGTTGTCCCGGTTGTGGTCTGGTCTGGTCTGGTCTGGTCGGGTTGCGTGTGTTTAGGAACTCAAACCATTTTGTATGCGTCGTCCTGGGTTCATGGCGTCAGTCGGTCGGTCTATGGTCTATGGTAGGTGACGTCTCCCCATCATCCTCGTCTCGTCCCATCTGACCCCGGAGTTTGTTGGCCACCAAAAACCGATCTGCCGTCGCCCTGGAGGGAGTCGGGACAAGTGACGGCCAGGGATTAGTGTTCCGTCCCGGCAGTCGGTTCGTCCTGTCGACGTCCTGTCGCATTATTACATCCTCGCTGTGACTTTTGAATGACAGCAAATAATTGTATTTACCTCGGTGCGGTTTTCATCGTCATATCTCCATTGCCTTATTTGTATTATTAGTAAATAATAATTTATAGTTGCCTTTGTTGCTCTTTTATATTTGTATATCTATGTTACACCATCAAAGAAAATAGTTTTGGGGAAATGATGAAATGCTTGGCTTGTGTGTACTTGCCCCGTACATGGGGGTCCTTACACTCAATTAGATGCGACATTATCCAATAGTATAATATGGAGAAGTCCGTTAGACAATTATGCATAAATATTATTATATTATGTCATATTATATTAGTTGTTAATTGTTATGTGTAAGTTCCGTTTAATTTTCTACGCATGGTTGTTGTTTTCTTCCTCGTCAATCGTTAAACATTAATATGTATGGTTATGTTTATGGTTATGTTATGTCGAAATATACATCAATAATTGCCTTTATATTATATAATACGATATACATTACGCTTTTGCTGTTAGTACACTTATTTAATTTTCTTCGTCGAACATTTGAATTGAAATTGTTGTAGCTTGTTACTTGTATTTAATTAACTTTGAAAAAACGTTGCGTCAAGTACTCGTAAATGAATCGAAAAACTCACTACTAAATATTTTGCTCTAAAAACAGTAATCGTTAATTATGCTCATATATTCATAGTTTTCTCTTTTGTTTCTTTCTACCACGTTAATAATTTTGCTTAGTTTTTCGCAAGCCCCAGTTGTTGTTCGGACTTGCCACAGTTATTGTAATATTGTTCTCATTTGCTTTTATTTGTTGTGTAGTGTGAGAGTAGTGTTTTTACGTTCAAAATCAAAGAATATGTTAACAAAGAAGTCGTTTGCGTCGAGATAATAACTATTCGTTTCGTATTTCTTTTGTTTTCTTGCTTAAGTTTAGCTGAAATGTATCTTATCTTTGTCGTCTTGGAATATTCGAACTACGATAACTCATTTGCATTATGGTTAAGTTCAACTGCTACGTAAAACTGTAAGTATCTTTAATTAATTGATACATTTTCTTTTCTTATTAATTTTTTTTGTAATATTTTCTCTGCTATTTTAGCAGCACTTGCACATCATTTTCCTCATCGATCTGAGCTTTGTATTTTTGAAGTTTTTCATATTTTTGGTTGATCGTTTGGCCTAATCGAAGGTTCCTCTGCATCTGCAACAGCATCCGCAGGTCGTCGGATCGCGTCGCTGGTCACTTGTATCTTTGTGGCTGTCCCCTGGGGTGTATCGTGTAGCGTGTCATGTGGACGAGGAGGCGAGTCTCCCGACCACATAGTACCGTGTGATTCTTTTGGATATATTTCGCTTGATTCGTTTCCTGTTTAGTCCGTTTTATCCGTTCGAGGGTCGTGCCTGAGTGGGATGTGTATCTTGTGGTTTGATTAGTGTTTTCGTGTTGTGTTGTGTGTTTAGTTTCCATTTCTGGCGATTCTAAACGGTTTCTTTTTTTTTTGGATTTTTTTAATATTTTTGTTTTCCCGGTAAGTTCAGTAGCTTGTTTTGTGGCACATACTCCTAACCGCACACGCAGCCCCGACCTCTCCCCGGTGGCCCAGTCCGCCCCAAGCCCCTAGCTGCCTTTTTGTTGGTCAGAATGGATCGTATATTTAGGGCCGGACGCGGACTGGCGGGAGGAGGAGGGAGCTGCGGTGCCATTTCTGACATTTTCATACTAATAAGTAGTGGGTAGATACTATAATATATATGCATATATAACTTGCGGTGTATTCATCAACTGCGAAGGGCAAAAAGTGTGGCCTTAGCTTAGGGAGCGATTGATAATAACTGAGGATATCCTGCTCTCTTGTTCCTTGACTTAGCACACGTACATATGGTCTGGTAAAACGATACTTGATTCAATAGCACACTCATGGTTAGCTAGCTAGATACACATATGTATGTAGATAATGACGTTTGCCGTAGCTTTTGTATATGAATAATATAATTGTATACAAATATACTTTGAAGAGTGCGGTTATAACCTTGTATAATTAATTGTCATACACATCAATAGGTTGCTCCTCACCAAACTCGTCCTTCCATGTCTTGTAAATATATAGAACTTTGTAAGGTACAAATTTTGCATTTCTCAGTGTTTCTCTGTATATATGTATGTGTATGTATGTATTGTGTCTGTCACCTGTAAAGGTGTGCATATGTTCTGGTTTCCGGTGTGCAATCCTGCTAGTGTCTAGTGTCCGGTGTCTGGTGCCTGGAGTGGGTAGTGGTGTCTGACCATGTCCAGTGTGGTGATTAGGTATATGTTTGTTCTGTTCTGTTCGGTTCTGTTCGGTCTGGCTTGGCATATGTATACCTTGTAGCTCGGTTGTTTGTCGTTCGTCTGCTTTCCAAGCACATCAATAGGGTTTAACGCTGAATATGCCAATATCGGTTATCGATTAGTGTACGCGTAAGTAAAATGCTCCATAATTGAATCAATGCTTAACACCTAGACATGTATATAAGTATAAGTATGTATTGTATGTAAATATTTCTTGTATATCCTTTAACACTCAAATATTCTATATGTATACATATATCGTGCGTTCTATAGTAGCTTGCGCCACACATCGTCGCCGGGGTGCAGGGATCACGCCGCTCGGACGCACTCCGGATCAGACGGGCTGGTGCATGTCCGGGGCAGCGTTGCGCTCCGGAGGACCCCCATCCCGGGGACCATGTGCTTCTCGACGCTGGTGTACATTAACTGAGGAATAAGGTTGCTCGCGAAAGCAACTACGATAACGTCCTACTACTGACAACCTTGTGAAGCCTTTTTCGAACCTTCCAAGTGCTCACTCCAACTCAAAGTCGAACTAAATTCGCTAACTAGAAACAACGAAAAGACCCCCGAAACGCTGCAACAATCATCTTTAACCTGAGGCTTAACCTTCAACCCGATCCTGGATCGGGTTGGATTACTTCGTCTTCGTCTGCTTCGCTGGTTTGGCCGGCGTCTTTTGCTCCGCGCCCTTCGACTCCTTCCGCTGGGACTGATCCTTCGGCTGCTCCTTCTCCTTTTCCTTCTCCTTCTCCTTGGCCGCAGCTGCGGCTGCCTTGGAACTGCTGGTGGGCGCCTCCTCCTCGGCGGCCTCCTGCGCCTTGTCCTCCTTGAGCGGTTCCTTGGTGGCGCTGCTGCTGCTAGAATTGCTGTTGCCACCGCCCACAACGGGATCCTTGTCCAGTTCCCGCTTCTCGCCGGACGTGTTCGCCGGCAGGGCCTTTAGGATGGCGTGCACCTCCTCGGCAACGGCCATCAGCACGAATTCAAACTGCTGTCGAGTGGCCACCACACCCGCCCGCTGGTCACGCAGGTGCTCCAGGGTGGCGGCAATGTCGATCTCACGCGCACCCTTGTTCATCCGCTCCAGGACCAGGTCCAACAGGATGTAGGCACCAGTTCGACCGCCTCCGGCACTTCCGTGCACCACAATGGGGCAGGAGCGACGTCCTCGGTAGGATTTGTTCACCTTCCTGAGAAGTTAAATTCATTAAAATAAATTTATTAATGGAAGACTCAAACCTTTTGTTTTAATTTTAAATGAATTATAAAAGAATTCTATGACTGATTGTACTTAAAAATTGGAAACACAGCGTACTATACTGTCACCACATTTGTTATCTTTAATACCAAAGGCAATATTAAGATTAAGATATGGCATCCAAGAGAGCCTTAACTTTCCCATCTTATTCTTTTTATTGCCTTCAGCACCTTCAGTATTTGTGTTAAATTTACATGTTAAATCTAAGTTCTTACCGCCTGAAATCGAGCAGTGCCTTTGCCTGGACAGGCACTCCCATGTGCGGCCAGGACAGGAAGTGGAACTGGGTGACCGTTCGGGTTTCGCTGGTGCGCAGATTCTTCAGGTAGAAAGAACGTACGAGGTAATCATCGCACCAAATGTGTTCACTAACTAGGTGAACCTGTAATTGAAAACAAAATGCTATTAATTATATTCACTACATAGCAATATTGACTTCGTTTTTACCTCATAGATGTGATAGACCTCGGCACCTTCTTCCGGCCAATAGCGCGCACAAGCCACCTCTCCGTTCTCCTGCAGTCGACAGAGGGCCACGATGACAACGGCTCCCTGCTCCCAGATCATCTGCCAGAAGTGAGCCAGGGTCGACGGTAGTGGACCCTGGGCGGCCACATAGGCGGGGGCTCGTGGATCGTGATCGGTCTGTCAACGTAAATTATTTTAGATCAGGAATATATCTCTGTGAGTTGAGCTAAGATATACTTACAATCGTTGAGGCATTTACATAGTCCAGTCCTTCAGCGTTGGCCAGATGGTTGAGGACAACGCGAGAGTGATCGTAGGGCAAGGGAGCCCCGGGTCTGTTCAGTCCCGCGCACTGCGGCTGGGAGGCGGCCTCCCGAGCACTGGGCTCGGCCTCATAGCGGCACAACGCCTCCCATTCCCGCTGCAAGCGTCCCTTGTTTCGCAAGTGATCCTCCATATAAGACTGTTGAGACTTTGATTGATTCCGATTCAAGTTACTTTAATATTTAATTAACTCACCAGCACCATGTGTCCGGTTGAAATGTCCATGTTCGTCAGTGCGGGCTCCTCGCTCCAGGACGAGGTGCTAGATCGCGAAGATGGCGGTCGGCCTTCGTTCTCCTTGCTCAACGATGTAATCCTTCCACTGTGCGCCGGCTCGTTGGAGCCACCGGCTGCGCCTCCGGCCGAATTGCCGCCGCTGCCGTTGCCTGACTTACCGGCCATTCGGGCACGACAGAGTTCCTGGTAATCCTTGCTGCAGGTCTCCGCCCCCGCGATGCCCGACTGCAGACCGCCCAGCTTATCCCGTTTGCGATCGTGCCGCTTGATCAGGATCAAGGTGACAAATATCACGATCACAGCGGCGGCACCAGCGCCGGCGAACATGTAGGCCATGATGTGGGTCACATCCGGTCCCTGCTCGGCCAGCTCAATGCGGGATGAGGAGACACTCGGGTCCTGCAGGTCCTTGATCACGTCACCAACGCCGGCATGCAGCACGTAGAACCCGACGCGTCTCTGAATGTTGTTCTTGACGCCGCGGTTCTCGTTGATGGTCCGTGCCACATCGCCGGCGGTCTTGCGCTCGGGGTTGTTTGAGTTCACCCGGAAGCTGACTTCGTGTTGTTGAACGCTAAAGGATTGGGAAGATAGCTTAGTTGAGGTTGAGAAGAGAGTTATTTTGAGAGGGACTCACGTTAAATAAGAAAAGTATCCCTGCATGTGTAGTATTTGCTCCAGCTCCTTCATGATGCGCTGCCCATCGTTCCAACTGTCAATTCTGTCAGCGAAAAAATATAATTATTTATGAAATTAGAATAATAGGAAGGACCTGCAGGTGGACTCACGGGTTCTTGACGAACACATGCACATATTCAGTGTCAACGGTGTGCGGCGCATGATCCTCGGCCGAGTGCTGCTGCTTCATGACCTTCTTCTTCTTGTGAGCCTCGTCGTCCTCGGCACTGCCCTTGATGTGGGCGGGCAGCACCTCCTTGTTGCCATTGCCATTGCCGTCCGTTTTCCGTGCTCCTGCTTTGTCCGTTTCCAGCTGGTTGCTCAGCTCGGAGGAGCCAAGGGATGGAGGTCCCAGCAGCGGACCAGGCTTCTTCACATCGAGGCGCTCATGGCGGGCAAATCCCAGCATATTGGCCAGCAGCGATTGCTTCACATTCTCCGGCTCATCTGCCTGCATGCCATCCGCATCTGGTCCGTACTGGGGTGGCATCACGAGCATTCCCCCCTCGGTATAGACCCGTTGGCTGTTCGCCTGCCGGGGGAAACTGTTGGAGGCCAGCATGGCCTCCTCCTCGAGTGGAGTCAGTGAATTCCGCAGCAAGCCCGACTCGAACGCCAGTTCCTGCTGCTGGGCGTCCACGTCGTTCGGATCCAGTTGGCTAAATGCCGGAGGACGTCGCTTGGCCAGCTCGGGAGTGGATTCAACTTCGGGTTCGGCGTGTCGGAAGCTCAAAAGCTGTTCCTGAACCAATCCCTGTTCGCCGGCCAATTCGCGGAAGAAGGAACGCTTCGGTTGCGCGTTCTCTACCTCGCCCAGTCCCAGTCCGCCCCTCGAGCCGCCCCTGGCCCGTTTGAAAGGGGCGAAGTTGTCCGGGAAGTAGAGCTCGCTCGACTCGTTCACCTCCTCTGGCGGCACATAGACCGGGGCCTTGGCCTTCTCCTGCTCCTGCTGTTCCTGCTGCTGCTTCAGTTCCTTCAGCTCGCGCTGCTGCTGCTGCTCCACGATGGCCTCCAGCTGGTCCATGGCATTCGCCGGCGCCTGGGTCTTCCGCTGGTAGGGCTGAGGATCGGGCTCCGAGGCGGCCAGAATCTGATACAGTTCCAACCGATTCTGCTGCTCCGCCCGGCGGTCAGCATCCTGTTCCACCTGCCGCAGCTCCTGCTCGCGCTCGATCCTCTGACGCTCGGTTTCCAGGAACGTGTCCATAATGCTTGGCACATCCATCTGAGCGTCATGCCCGTGTCCATGTCCGTTCCCCTTGCCAAAGTGCTCCAGCTCCCCGGGATCGTGGCGCAGAGGCCGGCGATCCTGCAGCATCCGATTGAGGTATATGTCGTTGGCATCGTTTTCCCGCACCTGCTTCTTCCTCAGCGCCGGATAGAACTGCGCCTGGCTGGGCTGCTCGTAGTAATCGAGTTCGGTTTCCGGTTCCGGCGGCGTGAAGCGCACATAGGCCATGGCGCTTGCCGGATCCCCGAACTCCGGCGGAGCGGGAGCCAAATTGGCGCACAGGTTCGGTGGAAGCTGCTGTTGGCGCTGGAGCGAGAAGAGCGATCCCTGGATGCGGCACTGGACGTACGGATGGTCCCAGCCTAGGCCGGCGCCCTGAAGCTCCTCCAGCATGGTGGCCAGCACACGAGACTGTTCCTCGGTGAGAGGTGTCCTGCGAAGAAGATAATTAACCAGGATTAATAAGAAATTCTATTTGGAAATTATCGCGATACTTACTTCTCAATGTCCTCAACGTCGACACCGGTGGTTGGAATGCACTTTCCGAAGATGTTGTCTGGCAAATAGATAAGAAATCAAAAAGATTTTCAGATTATACAAATATTTCAGCTTCTGTAAGCGAAACTTAAGGCCTTTGCAGCTGTTTGAAAACAGCTTCTCATTGTATTTGACTTTGGCAACCGAAAAACTTTTGTTTACTTTAAAACTTAAGATTGAATTTATTCGGCAAGTTTTGGGAACTATTTAACTTTTGCTTCCCAAAAAGTTTCACTTGACTGTGGAACTTTAATGAATAATTTACCATTTTCTTTAAGAGCGTTGTTAAAAATACATAAATTGTATAAATATAAATAGAAATTCTTTTGTGATTCTTAAACGTAAATAGATCATGAAAATTATTAATAATATAATTTAAAAAAAGCTGTCTAAAAATGTGGCAAACATTTAGTCGTAAAATTCAAAGTAACTTTATTTTCTAGCTTTAGTTTTGGTCAGCTTTATGAATAATTTTAAATCCTCCGAGACTTCTATGGCACTCTTGTGCTTTACTCCCATGAAGACCTTCAAGAACTTCCAAACAGGATTATTCAATCTTACATTTTACATTTATCAAGCACATTTATCTTTACTCTCTGGAACTATATTTTCTCATTGTGTGGCACACACAAGTTAATTTGTTTACATCCCCTGCACAGATTTAATTGAGCCTGAGCCAGAAAGTGTATGCGAATGTATCCCCTTGCCCAGCCCCTGTCATCATTCGTTTCGATATTAATAGGGCGTGTAGCTGCATCAATGACACTAGTCTTACAATGGTTCGTCCCTTCGTCCGGTCGCTCCTCCGGGATCCCCATGGTCCTGCCGTATCGTCAGCACCTTTTGTTTTCATTGTGATTTACGGGCATTTAAATGCATATCCTTGCGGCTTGTCTCGGGCGTAATTTGCATAATGCAAATGCTTCTCATGCGGACGGAACCGTGACTGCGGCGGCCACTGGCACGGGGACTGCACACACACACACACATGTGTGCCACGCCCCGCCCACTCGCCAACCATCCGCCCCTTTTGAGGTCAACCATTTCTGCGCAATTTTCGCCATTTTTCGCAACGTTATTCCGTCTGCAGCTGCTTTTCCAATTGTTCTCTAGCAGGCAGTCCTCCGTCGCCTCCACCACTCGTCGTGCTTACATAAGTAATTGAGTGTGTTCTCGATAATGCACTGGCACGGCATCCCCTCCTCCTCGTCCTCATCCCCATCCTCTTCCCCGACTCTGCCCTCTTAGTTTTTCACACTTTGTTTCGGTGTCGTTTGTGTGAACTCTCGCCCGGCATTGAAGAGCTCTGCAAATACGAATAATATGCCCTGGGCCAGAGTTCAACTTGCCCCAAAACCCAGTCCGAATCCTTCCCTTTCTTTTTTCCCTAGTTTCCCACAACTCCCGTTGCCCGTTGACCCACAAAGTGGATTTTGGCCAAAGATGCATTTCGGCAAACAGGACTGCGAGTAGGACTGGGGGAATGGCAGCGGAAATCTACGGCGAGGACTTCCATTGTACTTATTTGAGGTTTTAGAGTGCTTAAAGCAATTGAAGGCAGGCCAATGGCTTTTAATACTCCAAGGAGTGAAGAATCCAAAGGAATATTAAGAGCTAAGATCTAAATTTAAATAAATTATTAGCCAGAAAATAACTGTTGTTAATCTTTCTTAGTAAATAATGTGTCAGAAATAATGTGCGCTCCAGAAATCATTAGAGGTCTTAAAACCCTTAAAAATGAGTCTAAAAGTTTACATTTCTTTTCTTTCTTTTCTTTTCACAGTTGCCTATTATGTAAAATATTTTAGGATTAATTACACCCACTATATTATAGTTTATGGCAATCTTAGTTTTTATTGAAAACAATCTCCTACAGTTTTACTCAATTAACTCTGCAGAAAAGCCATGCACAAAAGTATGTTTTTTTATATAAAAAGGATTTTAAAAGTTGCAAGTTCCTTAAAATTAAAATTGGGGATATGTATTAAAACTGTTGTAATCAAATTTTTGATATCAAATTAAACTAAAAATAAATACAAGTCCTGCAAGTCTGTTCAAATGATAAATATGCTTTCCTATTTTACAAAACGCAACTTTTTAGACAGCGTCCCCTAACTTCCCCAATTTACACACCTTAGGAAATGAAACACTAACAAACTTTAAGCCATACTTAATACAAGACATTTAGGGAATATTATTGGGCTTCCTCTCGCTCTTCACACTTCCGTGAAACGGACTATTGTGCTAATCTCTGCTTTTAGTTGGTAAATTGAATTCCCCCGAACTGGGCCTTCCTTCCACCATCGATAGCCACAATCTGGGGCTTAAGTCCATCTTAACCGGGTGTCCCTGTGTAATCGCATACTCACCATCGTAGCAGACCTCGGAGTGCGGTATGCATAGCGTCCTAACAAACTGGCAGCCTGAAAAGAAAAAACAAGAAAGGGAAAGTCGTTGGTTAGTACATGAAAGAGTTGTTTAGCCATCACCATTATGAGGGAGTGGAGAATGGAGAGCCGAGCGTACTCTCAGTTGAGACATAATGATGTGGTAAGAGCCAAATCAGCATTACGGCACTAAGCAGGCTCCTAACACACCGAGCCACCCAGCAAGAACCCCCATCCACCAGACCAGACCACCTCCACTCCTGCCCCAGGAGCCTCCACCATCGGCGCTTTTCCTGGTGGTGGTGTCATGTGTCGCTTGCCTGACTCTTGGCTAAATAAACGCTTTTTATGAGCATGTCGCACATGGCTAGCACGCACACACACAACGAACACTTTTCTGCCGACAGGCGAAGACAACTACAAATTCCTGGCCCAGAGGATGCCCGAAAATACGGCCAACACAGAGAGAGAGAGAGAGAGAGGGCGAGGGAGGGAGTCCCCTCCTGCCACTCCTTGTAGTTGTTAGTCAAATGTCTGTTTGGCGTGCCTCCGTGTGTGTGACGTCAACAAGAAGACCCGCATCGCTCCGGGAATTTGCCACTGAAAAATTTGACCTGCTCCTCCTCCTTGCCCGGGACAAGGACTAGCATCATGTGTAACGCACGTCCGCCTCTACCCTGCTGCCCTGCTACCCTGCTACCCTGCTCCACATTCCACCCACGCCCAAAATAGCGTCACTTTGGAACTTTGTTGTCAACAGTTTTCGTGGTCTTTGCCTGGCTTTAACTTTGGCCCGTGACAGCCGGAAAAAGGCGACGACGCTTCGACATTCGTTGGCCATTAATTAAGCCAAAGTAATTTCGCTTTTCTGGCAAGACCCCGCAAAACCCCTAAGAGCCGCACTTCTTCAGGCTGTTTTGTTTTTTAATTGCTGAAAAATTGCAGGCCTCAGGTTAAAAAGGGCAGCCGGAATTAATCCCAACGGACAGAGGGACCTGCACGGGGGTCTCCTCTTGATAAGCGCCTTATGAATGATGGTCACGAAACCAGAAATTAAGTAACTTCGCGCCGAAGAGTTTCTTTTTAAAAGAAGCGCAGAGCTCTTCGCAATGAATTCATCATCCGATGAATGAAAAGGTCTGAGAGGGACTGTCAGCACAAGTGCTGGAAATGTCAATTACTTGGACAGAAAGCCATGGAAAGTCTGTCAAGAAGAGATGACTGACAGACAGTTAGACAGCCGATAAATATCAATACATTCAACATTTATTAAATGCAAGAAAATGTATAAATCTTTAAGGCAGAGTTTGGTTTGGATTTGAATATACATGAAACGACCTTTTGGGTCTCACTTAAAGGCTCTTCTGGAAGTGCGACAAACTTGAGTTTTATTCTCTGTGTAGTTAGCAGTCAAGTGGCCACATTGTTTGGCCATACGCCACAGTGTAGGGCCTTTTTCCAAAGACCTCTTCTGTATCTTCCAATGTCCTTTCGGCATTGTCGAGTCGACAGATTGAAGTGCACTCCCAGGGCAGAGCAAGCACCATAAACGCTTACTTTGTCTCCTTTTCACCATGGCTGCGGCTCCGATTGAATCCTGCTCCTGCTCCTGCGGTTGCTCCAGTTTCTGCCCCAACCCCGAGGATCTGCTGTGAAAACAGTCAATAAATGTGGCGACAGAAGCCGTCTGTCAATTATCAATAGGCCAACAGAGACGTGACCTGCATCATGACGGGCAAACTGGGGCAAAAATAGAAACTAATTAAATGAGATGCCCCAGCAATTTTGCGGCAAGTACGCGGGGTCTAATTGTGACGTCGGGCGGATACTGTTTTCTCTGTCAACAACAACAAAAACGGGAGGAACCAATCGTCCTGGGGGATCTGCAGGCTCTTGGGAGGGTCACAGTCTTGTCTCATAAATATGCGAGCTCATGGCCGTTGCCACCTCTCGTTTACTCTCTTTTTTTCAGCCAAACTGATAAGGCCACGGTACGTATGCGCAATATGCCGACGACGTTACCTGCCACTTTCATGGGGGCCAGTTTAACGGCCTCGTTGAGCCATGCAAATGCGCAAAGCGGCATCGCAACGCATCGAGTGCGGCAATAAAAATAAAAGAGGTCCTGTGCCGGCAGACTGCAACCTGCGAATCGAGGCTAAAAGCTTTTACGGCAGCAAAATCCCCGTCGGACAGTTATCTGTTTGGCATTCACATTCACCCGGAGCTCTCGGCTCTCCCCGTCCCCGGATGGTGATGCAACTATTATTTATGGCGGGTTCGATTTTCTACGCAGGAGAACTGGAAAGCAAAAGGACCTCGTCGACCACAACGAGGAAATTGCAAAGCTGGCCGCCTGCATTCGTCGGGATTGCCAATCAACAAATCAAAATCTGTGATGTTCAGGGGGCAGCCTAGTCAATCGTCCTTTTGTGCTGCTCACATTTGATTGATAAGTTTGCGGTTGAGTCGATTCCTACTTGATTGGAGGGTGCCCCAGCTCCCAGCACCCAGTTCCCAGCTCCTAGTCCCCATGGGGAAATCCTTGCCGGCCTAAATTATGCCACAGTCTGAAGACCGAGCAAACAGAGGGGTGCTCGCAACAATTTAATAAATTTTCCGCTCCAAGGCGAAATTGAAAATTCCGGACGCACACCCACACCCATACCCTCGATGCGGTTTCCTTGGACGCAGCAGCGTTTTGATTGATGTCCACCAGCACACCGCACATATTTAAGGGGAAGCTCCTTGGGTACATTTCGGGGAAGTGGAGGTGGCTGTTTACTTATGTATGTGACTCGCTGGGAGCCTGGTGGTGAGGCTTGCAGGTCCTTCTGCTGTTTGCTTTTGGGTCAAGGCATTTAAAAAGAAAAAAAGAATGATTTTCATTTCATAACGACATTTTTTCTCCTGTCAGCTGGCCAGCCAGGATGCTGGCACAACGCACAACACAGCGCCTCGCCTCGTGTGGCACGTGTGGCCCGGACAACGTGTGGTATGTGCAATATGCGGAGGCGAGACCGCTGAGAGCGTCGAGAGCGTCTTTAAGGACAATAACGAATGTCCGCACGTTGATTACGTGTGGCATTTACCTCAGCAGCAGAAGCTGCCATCAAGCTGTGTAAAAACAAACATTTCCTGCGATTCTAGAAACTTTGACTTGCAGAAGGATACGGTTGAGGTTTGTGAAATGTAAACAAGAAACGGATCGAAACGAAAAATTAACAAGTGGCAAAGGGGGGAAACTTCTACACAGAATATTATAAAAAGCATCAAAAGTAAATCCTTTAAGGATTGTTACATCAAAGGACGTATTCCAGCATTAATTTTGTTATCAACAAAGTTAAAATCAAAAGAGAACAATGTTGTACAGGCCAAAAACTGGCGTTTAAAACGCAATTACCCCACAACGCAGGCGAATGTTGTGAAAAATACTCGTAAAAGACATGGAAAACAAGAGAAATTTTCTTTTTGCTTTTGGATAAAAAAAGGAAATGCCTTAAAGTCGCCCCATACCCATGCTCGCTGGCGGCGATTCAAGGGAAAGCGTCGAAAGGACGTGTCAATGCTGGGGCGAACAAGGCGAACAACAACTGTCAGGGCGGCGGCGGAGGCACAAAGGAAATAAATAATAACAAAGGACATTAATCATGACAACGACAGTGTGGCACAAGGGGGGAAGGATGAGGCAGAGCCCGGCCAATGGCAAAGCAAACATGATGCAAGTGTTCCGCACAGCTCGTTAAAGGGGCAGCATAACAAGTACACAGAAGGCACTGCCAGGACTCTCCCCTCGGCGGAGGTCCTGTCACGGGAAAAGTAGTAACCCGGACACAGAGGCAGCGGCAGGCCTTGGCGCCTGTTTATGCATTAAAGTCGCTCTTTTGCCTACTTGACTTGCTAAGCATTTAATGCCTTCGCACACACATGTGCCACGTAAAGCAAACAGGGAAACAAAACCCGCAAAAGGAATGGGGAGGCGGAGGATGCAGTGCCTCCTCCTCCGATGCCAAGCTTTTTTTTCCAGCGGCTTAGTTTCAGCTGCAAAAGTTGTCGCTGCTCTGCAGCTTTATTAAGTGTAAATAAGCGCCGGCATTTCACAGCAGCTCCAGCCCGCCAGCCACATTCCTTTGAGTGGGGCATTCCTCATGACAGAACAACGCACAACCCACAGGCGGCAAAAATAAAGTTTTGACAACTAAAAAAACATAAAACTAGTAGTTCTGGGGACAATATACTGTCAAAATAAGATAATAATTGTGAGTCCTTTGAAGGCTTTACAATTAGCTTGCAATTTTAGTATAATTGGGAACACATTTCAATATCTCACATTTTCAATGATCTCTTTTTTGGAATTAGTTACTGTGTCAATCTTTCCCTTTTTCAGCTTCAGGCCTTAAAGTTTAATGTTTAATTAAATGAAAGAGAGAAACTTTAATTACTGTTAATTCATTTTTCTGTGTGTGGTCTCCTCCAACATGTTGCTGCCACTTTGAGCAGTTTTTCATTTTCTCTCTGACGCCGCCGGCGGCTCCTTGATTTATGCGAACTCATTTTATTCATAAATTTTAAAGACGTTTGACGTCGGCGGCCGGGGGCTATGAAAATTTGGTGCCGTGAGGCAAGGATGAGGATGGGGATGCTGGGATTCTGCTATGCCAACTGTCTCTGCTTCTGCTCATGACCCTGCTCCTTGCTCCTGCTCCTTGCTCCTGCTCCTTGCTCCCTTGCTCCTTGCCTGAATGCGGGCTCGTTGATTTATCTAGCCACATTTCTAAACAAATATTTTTGGCCTCTTCCTGGCAACCGACGACGCCAGTGACCCACACAAATTTGGCACGCAATTAGGCGGACTCCGGTTCTGTTCACTCTCGCCCACTTGAAAAGGAACGTCCAGCATAAATATAAACTTTTTATGGCAGCCACTTGGACGCCTGCTCATCCTGGGCCTAGGGCAGGAGGACTAATAAATTGAGTGCCACTTCTGGACGGCATGGAAGATAAAGCGCTGGAGGGTGGAAAGGATGTGGAATTCTAGCTCTTGCTTAGAAATGTTTCTATATATACACACAGTTCATCGAAGGAGAAGCCACTGCCGGTTGTCATCACTGTTCAAATATGTGTCAAGTACCTGTCGAAAAATTGTTTAAAGATGGGCAAACCCAAAGGCATATATTGAGACGAAAACCAACAAAATATTGACATGTGAAAGGATACTTTCGAAGGCAACTCAAGCGTGAAGTGTTTATATTTCTTCTCGGTTATTTATCTACTGCAATGCAATATGCATTTGTAAAGAGAAACCTTGTCATCTTATGGCAGCAATTAAAAGACTCTCAAAATAGCTAACCATTTCAATTTTCCCAAAAACTCTCATCCATTATCTATCTGGCGACGTCTGTGGCGATGACAAATTTCAAATGAAATTCCTAACGAAGTTGCTTGTCTCATTACCAAGGATCTGGTGGCGCCTTGGTCATCGCCTCAAATTACATTCAGAAACGTGCGGACACAGCTCTTTGTTCCACGAGAGCTTTTCAATTTTAAATGAAAAGTTGGTCTATCCTAGACTTGCTTGCATTTAAATCTATTTACTTTCAGCTCAATCCATGATGAAGTGATTTTACCTACAAAATGGTGTGCTTTATTTCGCTAGCCAAGAACAGAGACAGGGAGGACATTAGGACATCAATTTTGCATTTCATTCATGAAGTCCTTTGAATGTCATCTCTCTCCCTTCCTGGCTACCGTTGCGCTCTGTGTACGATTTATTAGAAATTCCGTTTCGAAAGTGACCTCCTGCAATGGACCTCCTGCAGCAGCTCTGCAATTTGCATGGTGAAACCTCCAGCACATTCTTCTTCCAGGACCAAAAGTGAAATGAAAAAGGGTAGGAGCCTGGTTAGGAGACGGGGGGAGCGCACAATCGAAAACGCATTTGGATCCAAATCCGAATCTAGTCGAAATTTCAAATATGATGACTGATTGCTGGCCCCGGGCGTACTACACAGGTTGCCAGCTCCTGTTCGATTCGTCCTGGGGAAAGATGCTCCTCATCCCCTACTAAGTTACATTTTGCAATTCAGCAGAGTGCAGTCGAATGCACCGCCCCCTCATTTCGCCTCATTTCGCATGGATTTATGCCAAATATGCAACCATGATCTAACCGAGTTCCAATCCCATGCAAATCCCAGGCAATTGGCTTGATGAGAATCCCTCCTCCTCAGAATAAAATAAATAAAATAAATTGTTAAACGCACGCCTCCTTGCAGGGGCGTGGGCGCTTTACGATGCGATCAAATTGATTTAATTAAATGCAAATAAGTTGTTGCCAGCATCGCCACTGTGCTTTGCCTCAATGGATTTAATGTGCAATTACTTTTCCAATTTGCCATAAAAGAATACACACAAGCACACACAAATCTTGATTGCTTATTACTTGGGGCACATCTTTCACCATTTGCCGGCCTTTAGCCTCGGCCTCAGACTCTCGGCTCTTTGGTTTTCATTAATGTTTAGGCAGCTTTTAATTTGCGTTCATTAAGAGGGACGGGGGGCAAAATCGAAGGATGGGCCTACTGGCCAGGATTCGCTCATGAATTTTCATTAATTTGCGCAAAGTTGTCGTCCTGCCCCGCCACCGCCGCCGCTGTTTGTGTTTCTGTTGTGCATGAAAAATTCATTAGATTTTTTGCATAAATTATGGTCGGGGCCAAAAACCAACTGGAAAATGTTCCCTAAACTTTCACAGAGAACATTTTTGGCTGGCAAAATCGAGAGAAATGAAACTTAGGTCAAATATTTGACACTCCAAAAGTTTCCACCTGATGAAGAGCCCCATGAAAGCATTTAAAGACGATGCTGTTGGTCCGCAGTGATGAAAAATAGAAAATTAAATTGACCCACTTAACTGTGGTGTATTAATTTAAGACAATAATTATTTAATTTTGTTGGAATGTTTGGAAAATTTAACACAAGTCACAAGTTGAACAAAAATTTAGGAGTTGCAGAAATACAAATCAAATACAACACAGGATGAGATGTTCCAGGAACTTGTACCTAATTAGCGACTTTCACCACAGGACACTATCTCTCCTCGATTCTGAGTGGGATTATGCATCTTCTCTCCTTGGAAAGGACCTGACGATGGTTTCAGCGGGCAACCGAATTCCTCCTCAAGCCGCTTGCCAAAGTAGTTCGCCGCTGGATGCGGGGCGTAGATTGAGAAGAGGACGCGGGACAGGACATAGGAGCTACATTCTGAATTGCAGGACATTTGCTACTTTTCGCTTTGGAAGCCGTCTCTGAACTCGGAGCACTCTGATATATTTTGTGATCCTTGGGAACGACAACAATGGGTTTTCTGAACGCGGAAGAAGCTACTGGAGTAAATGGATTAGACTTCAAATTTACGGCAATATTGTCGTTTTCGGAGGACTCTTGCTCGTCTTCATTGGTTTCCGTATCAGAATCATCCTCAACACTGCTTACATCCGTTTCGTCAGAATCGGATTCATCGTCGCATTCGCTATCAAAATCCGAATCGGAATCAGAATCGCTGTCATCCTCCCCAACCTCGTCCTCATCCTCTTCCTCGTCCTGGCTTTCATCGCTGTCCTGCATATTGATATTCATATTCATATATTCTTGGAGCTTCCTGCGCTGCTCCTTTAAGGACATACAATGCTGCTTTTTCTGATCGTAGAGCTCGTTCACCAGGTCCACCAGTCGCTGACAATTGAGATCTTTGGGCTTTTTGTCGACGCTCATAATGGATTCAGTGTTACTTTCAATTGGTGTCTCGCCATTGCATATCAAGGTATTTGCCTTTAATTCCTCCTGGGACATTGCGAGTGTTTGTTGTTACAAAAATTTGGGTTAAATACGGAGAATTTGGTAAATACTTTCACAAGGATTGTGCGACAGTAAAACAATATTGATTTCTGAATGAAAACTGGCCTTTTATTTCATTGCCTACTTTTTAGGGCAATGAATATGCAAATTGTGTGTGCCTAATATATGGAAGGAGCGGTGTTTGAATCACATATCATTATGGTATTCCCTTAAAAGGCTTAATTTCCTCTATCTTAATCATTAATCTTATATTTTAAAGGCTCTACAACTTTTACAACACTATAACTTATAGAAGAAAGATGGATTATTTTCAACTTGCTAAGGTTTGTGACCTCACATATCTCTTCAACTATATACAAATCAATAAATTATTTAAGATCATCAAAGTAGTTCATAAATTAAATTAAAATAAGTTTTAAATAAAGATGAATGTGCTTTTAGCACTTCTAATTTAAATACTAGTAAATAATCAGGGCTTTAAATCAGCTACATAAATCAAAAGAGAGAGAGAGAATTGTAAATTGCGCACTTTTGACACTTTCGATTTCGAGTTCAGCAAATTGAAGCGATGATATTTTATGTGCGACCTTAATTTGCTGTGTGTGGCCCACCATTTGAATCAATTACGGGGGCGCCACAAAGTAAGCACATCGCAGGTGGGGCCATTTATTTGTGCGGTCTTTGGCAGATAAATCAAATCATTAGCTCGGGGTCACTGAAGCTGGTAGATGGTACATGGGGTCAATGGGTGACATCGTGAGGAGTGGGTGCATTAATGCCAAATTAGAGACGCCCAATGGAGCGTGATTACGCGCAGGCCAAATATCCTACAGAACACATAAATACACATTTTGCGTTGCTTTTTGTGTGTACGGGAAAGCGCTTATTTGCGTATGCGTGGCACATAAAAATCCAGTTCTTATTAAATTTCCGCACGCCTACGCACATGTCCTAGGCCTTGATGTGGGGATAACCCAGAGATTTCCCCCTTAACCCGCGGCACTCGGCAGTTGGGAGCAGCTGTTGGGGCTGAGCTCTTGCCATTTGCTCAATGAATTTTGCATGTTTTTGTCGTCGGCCTCTCCTCTCTGTGCGTATGTTTTTTACACTTCGCCCGAGGCTAGGATCTCTCCTTGGAAAAGCACTTGCCCGAGTTTGGTTTCCTATTTGCTTGCCTTAAGTGGGACGGAGGAATGGCTGGCATTGTTACACCTTCACTGCCCCAGAAGGGGAGGTGGAAGTAAACAATATTAACATTAAATTAACATTTATTTGCTTTTGCCAATGGCTTCCCCCCCTGTGCCGTGTGTCAAATAAATACATTTACATACATTACGCAACATATGAAGGAAGCTGAATGCTTTCGGTAGTTCCTGTCCGCCTCTAGTTGCCATTAAAATGGCCTAATGGTCCGCCGGCTCCAAGGGCGAACAAATAAAAGCCACAAAAAGTGGGAAGAAAAAATGAAAGCAGTAAGGGGAAACCCCCGAAAATGGGAACTTCAAAAGGCAAAGCCAAAACAAAGTGCCAACAAAGTAATTGCAGGGATTTGCCTTGCGGCCGGTGGGTCGGTGGGAAAGGAAAAACAAGGAAGAGAGAGAGAACCCGGACCGCGCCTATTTTCCATGTGGGAAAATAATACTCAAAGGCAGGCAGGGATGGGCTTCGAGGACTAGCAACCAGTTGCCGCGCCATTTTCTCGTTTTGTTTTTCCCCTCCACTTTCGGGGATTCCATATACATATATATTTTTTTTTTAATGTGCCAAAATGTATATTTGTAACTGCCTGTGCCTGGGCGGATTGTCGTTTGAACAATTTTACGCATATTTGCACTCAAATATAACATTCACATACACATGTATGGGAATCCTGGGCCCAACGCCCAGATATTTACGATGGCACGTTAATTTTTATGACATTCGCTCGCTGGCAATTTGGTTCGCTCCTCTCAAATGTCCGCCGCCAGACAGCGATTCCGATTCCCATTATATTCGGGGGATATGAACGACGGTCCTTCGGAATGCACCTCAAAAGGCCACAAAAAGGACGACGACAAAGTACAGGGGCTAATAAACCTATTAAATCTGGTGATAAATGCCTCAGAGAGAGATGGCTTTAAAAGTTGTATACCTTATTTGAAAAGAAGGAACTTAGAGTGGTCTCCATGTATAAGAAGCTTATAGTTCATAATAAAAATAACTTGTTATGCAAATTCTCGCTACTTAATTGGAACTTATTTAATTGGCAAGACAACTCGTAGGGATACTTGTTGGGATATTTATATTCTTTCCAATTTATATTTACTCATAAAAAGAGATCCAAATTGAACTGCCATTACGTTGAGATTTATTTAAAAAGCCACAGCTATTGGCACTTTGTGTATTGAACAAATATGAGTCCTTGCTGGGCATCACCCAGTTCGAGGACATCGACTGTGGCCACAGTTTTATTGTTATTGTACTTTTGTTATTGTATATATTTTTATGTGGCTGCATCTTAACGATGATTACGGTTATTATTCATTAGCCACGCTTTTGTCAGCCTGCTCTTCTTGCTCCCTCCCTCGTCCTTGATTATCCGCAATTTCTTCTTCTGCCAATCGGGATGGGTGTGGAGACCAAAGGAGGAGTGTCTGGCCATGGTTCATTGGCCATTCAATATCTTTTCTTCTGCTCGATTGCTTATCTCCGGCACGAGACACGATGGCCAGGACCTGGCCAGGACCTCGCTCTGACCCCTGACTGCTCCCTTGGCTACGGTTCTGTAAGAAGACTCCAGGTGGGCGGCATCTTGGGAGGGCGGGGCTCTCACGTACACATGGCCAGAAAATAGATGATGTGTGTGTATGTGCTCTCAATTGTTTCAGTTTTATCTCTTAATTACATCTTCATCTGGCCATTGAAAGCCTTCAGCTCGGAAAGTTTAATTAACTTGGCAGGCAGGACCGCTGGCAGGACCTCTTACTGTCCGGCAGTATGGAGTATCGATGGACGCCAGATGTGAGTGCTCCAAACCGATACTGGCCATCATTTGGTCCAGTGCACCACATTATGAAGCCACGTAATTGAGTTGCCACTAAAGTGTACTAAATATGACAAAAACATGTGTGTGGGCTGTGCGGGTTATGGGTGAATAATAAATTAATTTCAGAAATCAGAATTAGAACACGAAAGTTTCTTTTGTTTCGCAATATTTTGATTATTTCCATCCGGCTTAATGCGATAAACTAATCCACTTTTTCCTCAAAGAGTTATTAAAATGTGCCCAATTTTTACATTAAACTGAACTAACAAACATTTTTATCAAAACAATTTGGTATTTACTAAGCGCAAAATCAATAAAATCATTGAATATTTGCACAAGCAGAGTTAATTGTATTTTCATTAGAAGAAAATTGTATGTATTTTTTGAGGGAAAAGATGCACTTGATCAAATTAAATGGTATTTAATTCGTTTTTAGGAGAGTATTTTAAATTTCCACTTAAACCCTTTTTAGAAACATTTTTCATGAAGAGCAGACAATAAATTTGCATCAAGCAATTTACTTTCAATTTTCAGCAAACGATGCCCAAACCCAAAATCTTTAATCTCGGACAGCCCATTTCAGCTAACTGTTTTCCACTTAGCACGACTTAATCCCCTAAACGGAAACTCAAACTGGAAACTGGGATAAATTTTCCTCTTTTCTTTTTGTGGGCGAGGACAATGGGTAAATGAGGGGGAAAAATGCAACACATACACCCTTTTGCAGTATGTATGTGGCGCAAAGTGCGTTGTGAGCCTGTTGGCTTTAATTGCGGCGCTTAAAAACGCTTGCACATTGCCAGACGAGTTTAGGGCTTAGCAGCAGATGCAACTACACTTTCCCAGCCATTTTCCGCAGCTCCCTGGGCCTTTATGGACCCATTTATCCGCCCTTCCCCCCAGTCCGTCCAAATTGAGCGTGCTGTGTGCTTTCTCTCTCGGTCGGTTGACAAGCCAAAAAAAGGAAAAATAACTCGTAAAAAGTTGCGATCCACTCGAGCACAAGGGTATGGCTGCCTCCCTCCTTCCTCGAGAGGCTCCTTCGGCACTTCGATTATGTTGGCAATCTGTTTACGTTAACAATGCCCCCCACCCAGCTTGTGTTGCATCCTGGCACACAGACAGCAATTTGTTCCAAATGACTTGAGCGTGGCGCAAATTAAGTGCATTTTCATTAGTTGCAAGTTCCGAGTTGTTCGCTATTACTTGCCCCCGGACCATTTGAGAAATTAAATTGCCAGGAATCACTGACACTGAAGGAGGAGGAGGAGGGAGTTGCTGTTATCGTTGGAGTGTAGCAACAACATTGAGAGGGCGCTTCAGATTCCCGGATAGCAATTATTTTTCCGGCTCACATTCGCTTTGAGCCTTGCGATGCCACCCTGGCTGGCCATCCACGGGATAGCTTCCACCACTCGACGCAGTCATCCATCCTTTATGAATTTCGTCCATGTGCAAAGTTATTTGCCAGTGGAAAGAGGCGGCAGGAAAAAAAAACACGGACTGGTAGAACCTTGCTCCAGTTAAAAGCGGATGGCGAAGAGATCAACAAAATATTTGTGGAGAGAACAGGTGTAGAGAAACGCCTCGGGTCAGGGGGGGCAGGAGAGTTTTCCAGGTGAAGCTCAGGTGAAGAAAAATGCATTGATATTTCAACCTGCCAGTCAAGTTTTTGTTTCACCGAACTTTTCACCAAGCCACGATGTTCGTAACAAACTTTGACAAAACAAAAAGGTGACGAAACATTCGGCTTTAAATTTAAGCTCCCAAGCTTTAGAAATTCTATTTTTACAAAGAACTGGCATTTCCCAAAATTGGCATCCAATTTGCCGACCAATAACTCACCCAGAATTGGAAATTAAAACCAATTTACTCAGAGCTCTTTTCAAATTCCCATCGGAGTTGCCGGGAAACATTGAACCGCCTAAAAGCGAAAACCCCAACTAATAGTACATATATTTGCATCCATATAGCTTTGAACAATTGTGGTTTGTGGGCCAAATCAACCGCAGAGAATGATGTAAACTGGCAGCCAGGGGTTCGCCGCATCCCGTTTTGGCCGAAAATAAAAGCACCACGGCGTATACGCAATAACTAACAAGAGCGCCGAGGCCTTTACATGGAAATTGCATTAGCAGAGCGACTGCATCTAGTTAAAAAGTTTTCAATGCCCGTCCGAAGCTCCAACAGGCCAAACTAATTAATAATGCATTCGGATCTGATTTGGAAAATGTGAAAATGCGCGAAAATGTAAAATCCAATTCCGATTCCACGGAAGTGGGAACCGGCCAGCGGGCTTTGCATCTGGCATCTGGATTTAGCTTTGGCTTTGGCCGGGAGATTGAACTGAATTTCATTAAATGCAAAGAGAGAGGGGCGCTCTGTGGAAAATATGAAAACTATCTGGCGTTGCAAAAAGGCTTTCAAAATGAGTGCAAATATTTGATTTTCAAATGAAATGAATAAATGCAGTAGGGCGCAGCTCCTCCCTCGACTACTGTCATCATTTTAATGAAGTTGTTTTTGCCATTTTTCTGTGCTGTGCTGATGATGATCCCCATGCAGCACGCATCGTTGGCTGACAAAGGTCAATGTGTTAGACTGTTGCATGCAACAGTGAGCTCTCGAGGGGCTGTCATGTGCGAATCCCACAGCAGCTCGGCTTACACAGTAACTCCTCCGTCTGCTGTTGCTGCTGCAGCTGCTCCTGTTAATTAAATTTTATTGTGCAGCCATCAGAAGTTGCGGCATGGGAGGCGCCACCATGAAATATTTGCAACCAAGGAGGAGCAGCAGCATGAACGGCTCGAGCATCAGCTGCTGCTGCTGCTACTAATGATTATGTCGGTTGTTGACTGCTGCTGGCTGTTGCCCGTCGCCTGGTTGCTAATTTATACATACAGACATGTGACACGGTCGCCAACAATGCCGCTCGTTGTGCGGAGCAGACGACTGCACAGCCAGGACATTTATCTGCTTGTGTATCTCGGTGCCTGTACAAGGGCTTGGGCACCTGCAGGCGGCAGGAGGCAGGAGCAGCAGGGCCAGCATCAGCAATCAATAAATCCCAGGACCCAGCTCCTGTTGATTCTTGCGCAAGGCTGTGCATAAATGTATGTGCGGAGCTACCAGCTCCCCTGGTTAACTTTGCATGTGGGCTGATTGCTGACGTGCATGCACCGAAAGCTGCAAATTTGCATGGCCAACCGAGGCAGCATCCCCGCCATCCACAGGAGCAGCAGCAGCAACAAAGGCATTACTGTGGCAACAGCAGCAGCATCAACTAGTTGTTGTCATGGCAGCAGGGAAGCCTCGCCAGGCCAGGATATGAGCTGTGAATTCTGCGCCCGAGCTCCGCCCAACCCATACACTGCCCATCCCTGACATGGCCATGAATACGTAAGGAACTTAGAGAGACGAATATGATAAGCTGGAAAATGGTTAGACCAAGCACGACTTGAGTTGAGAGAGAAAGAAAACTGACAGCTTGCGGTGGATAATTTATGCTTGGATAAAATAATTACGAAGAAGTAAAATCTCTTGAATTAGCCTGAGAGAATTATGGTTAGAGAATTCGGAGCGGAATGATTTAATGAACGTCTGGAAATTACATCCATCGCTCTCCGGAAATGGAGCATTAATGGAATTTATGAGCGTTATAATTTATTATAATAAAATAGCACTAAACTGTTGAGTTTGTTTAATAAGTTTTCAAGAATTTCAATAATTCAGCGGAGATGGAAATTGACAAATATTAAAGTTTGACATTTGGTTTTCCATCAACAAGCAAAAACATACACCTCTTGCTGTGAACACATTTGAAATATTAATGAGCAGCAAAATGCTGTTTGATCGAATGTGCATACGCATTTGAATTATTAAAGCAGCATAAACGAAAGTTTGTCAGAGGGAACAGTGTGAAACTGTTGATGTATAAATATTGAATTGAAAACATAGTGAACAATAGCGAAACACATTGAAAAAATTAATATTTAAAATCAAATCAATCAACATTTAATGGATTTTTACGGCACTATGTTATTGATGAGGAAAAATTACGAATGCTTGCAAATTGAAAGCACCAATTTGCTGTATTTAGTTTTACTTTAATAAAATTACTTTATAACCTTAAATCTAAAGAGAATTTAAGGGATTCTCTGAGTTCGCAATGGAATTCAATTAGATTTGGCAAAAACTTTCTTATGTTTGGCTAACACTTCCGGAAAATCCTTGAACCTGTGCAGATTTACACTCCTCCCTAATCAAGTTCCTGGCTGCCAAAATCAATACTTGTGCCTCTCTCAATTTTCTCTGTCAGTAACTGCCCCAAAATATGGTCCGCCACATCGGAGCCTGTTGCACATGGTAATTTTGTTTCACAAGTGTAACTCGTTTAGCCCGGTTCCGGCCGTAGAGGCCATTTTCGATGTGGTACATGTACCTGGATGCAGTTGCAAGTCCATGTGCCTGACTCTGGCCAATTGGATTAGGCCCTGGTGTGGGGCTAAACTAGTTAAAAACATATTTACCCAACCCCAGACCTGGGGACAGAAGTTAAAGGCCATGTTGCTCCGCTGCGTGCGCTCTGTGTTTTTGTGTGCGTCAAAGTTTTAATTAATCTGGTTTATGTTTTTGCCACATAAAACCAGAAAAAGCTTACAACACACGGTGCGAGTGGCGGGTGCCCAGGGAAATCGAAAGATACCAGGGACTAATAACACCATAAAATATATATCCTAAAGGGTACATATTATATTTTTTAAAAGCAAATAATTATAACCTAGTTTTTCTCTCCATTTTTAACCAGTTTATAATCTTCACTATCTGTAATATATTTGATAAGCTTTTTTGGTTTAAAAATAAGTGCAGTTGATAAAATTTTTCTACAATTCTACAACACTCACCAACATTGCCCTCCGCTTGCACAGGATCTCCATGTGTGACGAGCAGGAGGATCAGCAGAAGGAATCCAATTTGGAGCAGTTTGGCTGGCCTGTTCAGAGCGTCCAGGGTGCAGCATAGCAGTCCACCGCCTCCGCCAGATCCGCAACCTCGCACCTCCCGGTTCCGGGCGCCCTCACTGATCAGTAGGCGGCCACGAGCAGGCAGCGCCGATGGCAATTTGCGCTGATGATGCAGTAGCTCGTGCTGGCGAGGCTGTACCTTGGCCGGACCTGGCTCCTGCTCCGCTAGCGGATGCTGCTCCTGCTGCTGGTGGTGGTGGTGAGGGGTTCGCTGCTTAGGTCGGGACTGCTGGCATACTCCGGCTGCTGCTGGATCCTGGTCCTTTTCCGATCGTCGTGCTCTCTGATGCTTCGGCTCTTCACTTGTGGTGCATGGATGTTGCTGCTGTTGATGTACATTGCTTGCCATGATAATCGGCACACCTGTAATCAAATATGGTACACAATTTAGTAAATATATATATTACATATTAAAACAAGAGGGAGAAAAGAAGCTAACTTCGGGAAGCAAAATAGCTAGATCAACTCGGCTGTTAATGCTGATCAGTAATATAGTTTAAAAGGTCTTATATGACTCCTTCTATGTGTTTTAATATTATAATATCCTGCAAGTGTATAAATTTATATATGTGTTTTTGGGTATTTTTCACCGCTTATATTTTGATATTACAATATATTTAAGATCTCAATCGTAATACTGAATCAAAAATAAAGACAAATAAATTAATTTAAAATGTTCTAATATCTTTCCTCTCGTTACGTGTCACAGGTCACAAAAAAGTCATACAATTAAGAATTTATGGTTCAACCCCTTTTAGGTTTAACGATTAAAATATTAATGTTATTATTACAAAATATGCTAATTTTATTACCCAATTTAGACTATATTTAAACTTTAATGTGCGCTTGGAAACCTGTTATTCTAAATTAATAATTATATTCGCCTTTTCAATTAGCTTTCTTTTCTAATTTTCTCCCCGGTCGTATCTTCACGAAAATCTCTTTCACAAATTTATGCAGGCATTCGCCTAATAACATGGCCCTCCAGCAAGCTCCACCAAGTGGTGGCTCCTTATTGTTGTTACCGGAAATTAGCAATGTATATTCGGGTGGCACTGCCTTCCCTGGCCCTTCTGCCTCTTGAGAGAAATTGCATTTTATTGTGCCAGGGACAACTTTTCGCTTTCCGGCATTTCCATATTTCATATTTTCACACAATTCGCACAATGTGGCACCGAGCACCTCCATGGCGGAGGGATGGAATGGGATGAAAGTGGCTTGAATCTTTGTTGTTCGTGCCCATTTGTCGCGCTGCAGTTTCCTGTTTTTTAGTTGCTGCTCCTTTGTGCGGACTCGCTTAGCCCCCGGTGACTCCCGGCTGCCGAATCCTGAGCGAGAGTATTTCTTGCTCTTTATATGGTAATAAATGTCAGGCCTCGGTTTTGCCCACCCACAGCCACAGTCTCCAGCAAAAAGGGAAATTGATTTTCTTTGCCGCTTGACTGCCTCGCCGCCGTGACGATGGGCGGCAGGTGGGCGGGGTCGGCTCTGGATCCTGTCTGGGTCATTTGGCGATAAGCGCGTCAGCCTCGCTCAAGGTTGACATATTTCGGATGGGGGTTTGCCTGTGGCTGCCAACTTCATTTCATCCCGGAGGCTGCGACAGAACCGCCCACGAAATGGGATTCCAGCTCATCAACGCAACACCGCAAAGATGTGGCGGATTAAGGTCCCCGAAGAAGAAATGTCAAATTATCGAGTGAAATGGAAGCAATATAAACAAGATACCAAATAAAATAACCTGTCAACTGCAAGCAAATGCGGAAAGGACATATGTTCGGTTTTGTAATGGACGACGTTGAAAGCTTTACTGTCATCAAACTAATTTCCTAAACAAAGTGGAATCAATCAATTAGAAAATCCCTTGGAATCATTGCCATAAGTCAATTATGGGATTGCAAGGAATACTATTTGGCATTTTGAAATAAACTATGTATACCTTGTCCGTTTTGTGTGTAATGATAATCAATAAATATTTACAATAGCAGCTGCTGCTGCTCAGTGTAGTATAAATGTCTTGGCTAACATCTCAATTACAGAAGCATCTTTAGTTGTAACATGTCTGGGACATGGTAATATGATTTCAATCATTCCTCGAAACTTGCATGATTAATGTGTTCCAGATTTTTGCCCCCCAGCCAGCCAGGATCTAATGGACTTTGTATGCTCCAGCGCGGGTAGAGCCTAGAGAGCCTAGAACCCGCTTCTTAGCGATGTCTTCTTGGGCTCCTTACCCTGGTTTGGGTTCATTTTTCATGCACAGGCCGTAGCAAACAAACTGAACTACAAAGCTAAAACTAAGCCCCAATAACTTGGACGGGCCCAGATGACACCGCAGCATATGGGGCGGGATAATTAATCATGGGACGAACGTGCCAGGCCAGCCAAAAAGTTTTCCCATACCAACATCTCCCAGCGCCGTCCCTGGGCAAAACTCAACTGAACCGAAACACATTGAATCGAGACGAATCGACCGAAAAGTTAAAAGCCAAGCTGAGCTCTGGTGCACCCGATGCGAATTCATGGTTCGGCCAAAAGGGAATATCTGATTAGTTGGCCTCTCGAATTCAATTAAGGTGACAGGCCAGAAGAAGACCTTGCTGTGGCCGCATGGCCGCCTGCATCATCCTTGGCCTCCTGGTCTTCCTTCCGCCCCAGCTCCTGCTCCTGCTCCTGCCACTGTGCCGCCGCTTGAATAATTTATGCAACTCAATTAGGCGTTGACCTGGCGATAAAGTTTAATAATTGCAGGAGGCGGTGTGCCCTTTTTTGCTTTCGCACCTTAATTAAAAGAACCGAGCAATTAAAAACGCATCATGACACAGGACAGAGCGAAGGAAGTTAAAAAAAAATGTTAGAGACAAGGACACCGGCTATGAGATACCTGGCACAAAGTACGCTTTTTATGTTTTGTTTGAATTTTTTATATTATTATTTTATATTAAATATTATTTTTAATAATAACCGTTTTTAATATTATCAAAATCGTATAGCAGGTATAGAAGGTATAAGCTAAAATTGAGAAGTGCAAGACTTAGTAGTAATACATAATTGTGAGATGTACATACATATGTATAATTCTATTTACCAGAACAAATTTTATCACTAGTTTACTGATCCATCATTGATCACTGATCAGTGATCATGTTTTGTTATTCTCCTTCGATACTATCACGATAGGAAATAAACGTCAAAGCTTGATAGCCTCAGTGAATACCTCTTACTGAAAAAAGAGCAATCCGAAGTAAATGCAATTTCCGGATCGAGTCAAAGCCTGGACGCGCTAAAGGGGTGTGGCATTTTTTTAATATAGTTAACAGCAATGCTTAAAAATACATACATACATTTATGTACACACATACATTTGAACATTAACCTGACCCTGGGAAATCCAGAGGCAAAAAGCCGCAAAGGAAACCACAGGAAACACCCTTTGGTCCACGGCGAATCGTGTTTGTGCGGCGCCTCCACTTTTACCGCCGACAAACCGCGACCACAGCTGCAATTAAAATGGAGGAAGCTGCTCCTGCTGCTGCTCCTGCGTCAGATGAACATTTGCTGCCCCGCTCCCCACTTGACTTCTGTGCATTGTTCCGGGCCTCGCCATTTCCATGGCTTTTCCGAGGCGACACGCGACTTGTTTGCACATTCAAATAGCTTCCCGGAAACGAAGCCAGAGCCACTGCACTTTCCTTTTCCCGATTGGTCGTGCCAGCTGAATTTCTGCGAATACGACCTGCACGTCTTCAGTATGGATTTCCAATCATCAATTTCAATTGAATTGAATTGAAGTCGTGGCACTACCGGAAAACTTTTATAGTTCTGCAGTAAAGTGCAAATTTTACTGGCAGACGCAATTTTCGTTTCCCTGAATCTAAAGAAGCCATTTTCTACCAGGGATGAAGCTTCTGGGTTTCTGGTTCCTGTCCCCTGATGCTTTATGATGATTTTATTCGTACTGACATTGATTGGCAAATACATCCGATTCGTACATAATTGGAGCATTGTAGATTTGTTACATACTATCGATTATTGTAAACAAAAAATAAACACCATGATCCAGTGTAGCTGTTGCATTTGACAGACGTCAAAGCCGATTGTACAGTCTTTGACTTCGAGTATTCCACTCATTGCATTATGAACTTTCCGAGAGCGGAAAATTATGTTGTTTATTGCGGCAGCAGGAGCTGGGAAAAGTTCAATTGCTTGGAAATAGCTCACGGGCGTGCAGAGAACATTTTCTTGGTAGATGGAAAAATCAGAAACCGTTACGAAAATGAAATATGTTCTCTCCAAGAAGATTAACAATGCTATTGTAAAAAAACGCTTTTGAATCATGATATACACTCGTGAGCTGTGACTTTACAGGTCGTTGTTAGTTAAACTGTTAAAAAAAAAATGGCTAACTGCCTTACGAAAATATCATTTATCATTATGGAGAATTTATGTAGAATAAAATAAAACGATAACAATAATGATTTATATTAAGTTTAATAACTAGTATTTAATTAATTTTATTGCCAAGTTTGTGTTAAAGCATGTTTTCGTGTACAAGAATACTTCAAATACAAATACGGATAAACGTAACCAATATTATTTTATATTTCAGGGATGGATACCTTTTTTGAACCCAACTCCCCTATTGTTCTGCAGCCCTGGTAATCGTTCTGATTGACCGTGCAGAAAGGCCCTAGCCCAAAGCACATTTCGATTACCCTCCGATTACCCGCTGTCAAAGCACCGGAAGTCTCTCCTCTCTCTTTCTTTTCCTGGTTGGTCAACGGAACGATTCACGCCAGAGCTCCTGGTTCCTGAGAATTATTCACAAATCATCTTTGTGTGCGACAATCTCACGTTTATATTTCTTCTTATTGCCCATCAAGAGAAGCGATGAAGAATAAGCAAAAGTCAAAGAAGGCCGCAAAAGCGGCTGCCAATGCCAGTGCCGCCAAGTTGCAGAAGAAGATCGCCGAGGGAAAAGAGGTAGCAGGAGTCGTGGCCGAGGAGGGTACAAGCAACAGCACACCTGAGATGACCCCGCCTACCGTAGGAACCTCAATAAGCTGATAAAGCTGGCCGAAAAGCTGCCCAATAGTCTGGTCCTCAATTCGAATTCTTCGAACGTGGAGAATACTAACGAAGAGGTGAACTCCAGCGCCTCCGTTAAGGATACGGAGAGCAACGACAACAAGGCCACGGATCTGGTTAAACCCAACTCAACCAAGTCTAATCGGAAGGGCCTCACTTCCTCGGATGACAACCCAAAGTACTCTCGTGGCGAAAAGAAGGCGCGCCGCCTCCTCATGAAGCTGGACCTTAAGCCCATCGAAGGTGTATTCAAGGTTACCATGAAGAAATCCAAG